ACTCTTTCATAAAAACAAATATCAAACCAGAGATCAAGGTACGATTTGTAGACAGTTGTGCAAAAGAAGATTACGGCTACGGAGGCTTGACTTTGGTTTACGATTGATTAATCTCATTCACGACGTAGGCTACTGTCACTACTGTTTTATGTATAAACTTAACGTATCTGATACGATCTCGGTTATTATAATAATTTATTTCAGTAAAGTAAATCAATAATAAATTTAATGCGCTTGAAGAAGTTTTGGTGTCAATTTCACCTTTTTGGTTTTGAGTCGTTATCACCTTTATCATTATTACATAGTATAAAACAAAGTCGCTATCGCTGTCTGTCCGTCCCTATGTATATCTTTAAAATTACGCAACGGATTTTGAAGCAGTTTTTTTTAATATATAGAGTGATTCAGGATTCATGCGAAGCCGGGGAGAGTGCTAGTATTCATAAAATTAAAACCTATGAAAATTATCTTGCTCCTGTGTAAATAATGTACTTACGTAAACTGTCATGGGATATATTAAAACTCAATTATAGTGAACCAAGAGTACACGAGGCAAGAATTTAAAAGAATTGCAATACTTTATTGTATTATAACAAACATAATTATTCTACTTGTCTATTAATATATATCTACATGTATAATGTTTCATTGTTTATGACAAACTGATTATGTAACTGTAACATTGAATTTAAATTTATGTGTTAGTGATATTTGTAAGTAAGTAATTGACATAAACAATCGATTTGGATCGATTGTTTTTGAATTTATAATTAATACAAAGATTATATTTTTTTGCTTTATATATATCTTTTACGGGAGCTACGGACATAGAAAAGTATTCTTAGATAAATATTTATCTAATTTCAATAATAAATTTTTACGTGTTACTAAAAGAGGCAGTGGTACTCTTACATACTTTTTTACGTTATGTACTTGAATAAAATAACATGTGGGTTTCTCCCTCTGAAAACATTGTCATGCACTGAACAATGCACAGCCTACATTTAATCTCCTTTAGCGTTCTGGCTAGTAAATCTAGTACGTCTACGCATCTCTAACTTATAAAGATCTAATAAGAAGAGACCTGTTTCTAGAATATTGATAGTTGCAGTGGAGTGGTTGGAGTTCCTTGTACTACATCTACCCATTTTGTATACGCTAATATTTTTGAAGACAATGACTTCAAAAATGAGTGTTTGCATTGCATTATTTTGGGACTTATCTGATTGATTGATCATTGATGTGCATTGTGTGTATAGTATAGTTGTCGAATATAGTTTATGGCTCTGTATTACTTGACCAAGGTTATTCTTATTATTATTGACAGATTTCACAAGGTCTAGAATAAGTTAGGATTTCAATCTCCACACTAATAATTTATCGACATTATCAAAAGTGCCACTTAGTTGCGTATTTGCATGAAAGCAATCAGTGAATATAACGAAAGTTGAAGTCGTCGAGGTTGACTACTAATTTTCTAATCACCTAAAATATATAGGAACTTACTATGTCTTTGTTTAGTCTTAGAACCATAACGTTTTATCTATACTCTAAAATATCTGTGAAATATTACAATTATTTTATACAGTTCCCAGAACTGTCTCTTGTATCGAGACTAGTATGGATAGAGCCTTATATTACTGAAGGTTAAATTCACAAATAAAATGTAACCTAATTCGAACAGCGACGTTAATTGCTTTATTTTTTTATAGCCAATAACTAATGATATGACAGAGTAAAATGTAACTCCCATTCAGTTGAACCAGTTTCCAAATGTATGATTCGTAATTGGATACAATGACAACAACGAATGACAACCTGAAAGTTGAAAGTACATGTTTAATTTTAAATGTCTTTTATTATTATATTATATATATATTAATATAGACTACTGACAATTGAATATGAAGGAAAAGAAAATTGAAGTAACAAACAAGAATCTACAAAAAAAGGAACTAAAAATTTCAAAATATAAATTTAGATATAAAAACACATTTCTTATTAGCCAGTTACAATAATATTTATATATATATAACATTTTAATTTTCTGGGGTGTCTATAAAATTTATTAATATGCCAAACATAAAAACACTTCTAACATGAAATAAACACATAGTTTTTTTTATTATATACAGGGAAGACCGTGTGGAGGTTGGCCTTATTGTACATTGCTAGCAATGGGGCCTCTGGTTTCATTCAGTAACCGTGCTATACCCTCCGCTATCCTTGATTTGGTATTACAAATTTAGTTACCTCAATAGTTATGTCGCGACAAATTGCACTGATGAGATATGAGTATCTATTTGTATCAGGGATTACAGCATAATCTCTAATCCCTGATTCAAATAGATACTTATGTGACCTCATGCTACAGATATGAAACGTGCATAAATAGATACATATATATGAAACGGGTTTAATCTTGATAACGTTACGAAACCAAGAGTTACTTTTGTGTTGTTCGAATTGAATTTTGTAACTTAAATATAAATAGTTCCTAAGTATCATATATACCGATAACCAATGAAGGCGAAGGATTCCTTGCCGTCAATACTGTATTCGTATATACAAATAAATAGTTAAAATTAATTTTAAAATCTTTTTTCTGTTTTACCCTTTTTATACATTTTGATTTTGTTTTCCACTGATTTGGAATGCCTGTGAACCCGCTCTCATTTTCTTCCAGTAAGGCTGTAAAGACCAACTAAGGCGAACTGTTTAGTTAGCAGTTCTAAAAAAATAACTAGTCAATTCGAGAAAATATATTTATTAAAAACTAGTACATATATAAAACAAGAATATCGAAATCGAAAGAATATTTACGTATTGTCTCTGTGGTCACGACGGCAGCAGTCTGCCATGGTAGCGACACTATTTTCCTTTATAAAAGTCTTTGTCTAAACAGCTAACGGTGTACAACCTCATCTCTCAAATAATCGTTTACAGAGTAATAGGCTTTATTCCATAAAGATTTCTTAATATTTTTTATATTACATTAAACAGTAGATTGGAAATATATTTTGGTATCATACTTAATGCTAAAAAACCCTCTTTTTTATATAACAATAAATGTATTTTTTTAATGGATGTCAATAGAATGGTTTAGCCGCTTGCACTAACCGTCTATGCTGGCGGTGCACCAGTGAAGAATGATAAAATGAGCATGATGTCAGATCAGTTTTCCCAACGTAGCAATTTCACCAAGAATTTACGATGATCTCCAGAGGGAATCGCGTGGTGGTCAACCTGACATCATATATTGCTAGCAATGGAGTTGTTACTCCACATTACTAGCAATTAATGTATGTTAGAACAATATCATGTGTGTTACCAGTAAGTAAACTTACTTGAGGTGTCACTAAAACATGTTGTGTAACATACCTGGTGTAGATATAATTAATGTAGCTGATCATTTAAGCGTAAATTCTACACACATTGCTAAAGTCACACCATTTTTTAAAGTCCTGTATCAAAACAAGTTACGTCGTAATTTGAAATATACTAGATAGCTACACTAGGTCTTTTAAATGTAACTTAACCTTGATTCAAGAATAATTTATTTAATATTGTTTTTTTTTTCATTATTTTTAATTTATGACACTTACGAATAATTAATATTTTAATGTAAAATTTAAACATACATATATAAACGTAAATAATATATAGTAAATACGTAAATAGTATAATATAAAGGCATTATTTAAGGTATTTAAGACAATTTTTATCGATTAATATCGATTTAAATTTTATTAGACGTAATGGAGGTAATAAATAAAATATAATACGTAGATACCCATGTGCTTACAAAACTGGTCGAAATCATAATCCTCCTTTTTGTTTCCTCGTTCAGTGGGGTAAAAATATATAGATATCACTTAAATAATAGTTCGAAATAAACTGTGCCATCTAGCGTCAGTATAGTGTATTTATAAGAATTTAGGATATCGAAGAGTTGGGCTCGAGATTTGAAAGTAGCGTAATGTAAATTGTACGCACATCTATACTTCAACATGCGCCAGTAGTACCAACAAAAAAACAGAGAGGTAGTACGGTTGTCTGTATATTATTACAGTGCGTACAATAAAGCTACTGTGGTAAAAATATATTTAATTTTATAAATTTATGTATGTTTAATTAAAAATTTTGTTTCTAACATGAATTAAAACTTCTTCACAGAAGTCACTAGATTATATTTTCGTAATATTCCAACATAGTTCTAATACAAAAATATATCATTATTTCATCATCTACTATATATATTAACTATAAATCGTTGGTTTATAGATTTTTGTCTTCTCAGCAATTTAAAATGATGATGATAAGAGGAAAAAAATAATAGTTATGAAATCTTTTAATATTTGGGACATGTACTTTACTATTACTATTTGTGATAGAGAAATACTTTTATTAGGTACTGGCTGACTAGTATAGCTATCCTATATTATTTTAAAATCTTATGTTAATTTTTTCACTAATGTTTTGTAACTATGTATAATAGAAGCTGTTGTGAAAGACTAATCGTAGTAAGTTCGTTAAAATACAGTACATACCTATAAAATAAATACCTATCCTGTAGTAAAACTCGTAATAATACTGTGGGTATATAACTACATATATTCTATACAGTTTATAGTTTTAATCTATTATAGTTAAATATTTACATAATGTGATATGTTGCTACTGTAGTTTAGTAATCATTCCGTTTAAGATTTGATTCAAATTATCAGGAGATTAAGCGATAAGAACAATAACAAGACGGGCAGTGATAATGAGCTGACACAAATACAAGGATTTTTAGTACTCGTCTCGTTTATCTAACCTAAGGTTTGCATACAGTGCTATTAGTAATTGACAACAGGACCTTTGTCCATGCAAATACATCCGCTGCTGAGCACATTGTTTCATATTATCAGATCACCTAATACTATAAAAAGAAGATTCAGTTAGACACGACCCTTCAATACATATCTTAGTCTAACGAAGAATATATTGTGCTAATAATGAATTTAGAATATTTTAAGGCACGTATATAACAAATATTATAAAAATATTTATAAATATCTTTATTGTATAATACTAATAAAAGAGTAAAATAAATTCGAATAAATAATATGTTCAAGCACTAGTAGTTTTGACATAGATATTGCTGACACACAGAATGTGTAACCATCAAAAGTAGATGGCAAGCATAGAGAAATCTGTGTACGTGAGTTATCGAGAAAATATAAAGGCACTTGTTCCTATGAGTATCTCATTCGGGGAGAGCCAGATTACTGACACAAATTTTATTAATTAGGATTTAAGCATAACTGTTGTTATGTTGCAAAACACTATGTTTACGCCGTTAGTCCAAAAATAGCTTTGTCATTGGAGTAAATTGTGTATTTGTTGTAAATTGTTTGTGTATGTTAAATAGGAAAGAGAAATCAAATACGAAAAAATCTACCCAACATTAGACGAAGAATGACAAAAATGTGCCCATTTTTGCACCATAACAATTTAGTTGTTACGTTTAAAACTAATTAATATTTTCAGATGTTATTGCTCATAAATGGGTGGGTACTAACGGAAGGATCGCCTGTGGCAATGTTGCAACACGCCACATCGTCACAGAGTATTGTATTTCACCCGTCAACATCTGCTACTTCCTCTCCATCAGTTTCTGGTACGTATTTATTCATCCACTCTTTAATAATTGTTATTATATTATATATTGATAATTTAGATATGCTGCCAAATTATTGCATAATGCAAATATAAATAATATAAGTACAAAATAAAATAAAGTTAGTTTAAGATGCTGAGCTTGTATTTTTGATGTAACATAATAATGTAATATAATTTTATTTATTTGTAGGTCAGTCTGATGTATATGGTACGAATGAGGTAGGTCTATAAGTATAATTTTCTATAATATTAATCTGTATGTTGATGGCTATTCAAATATATAAATAAGATTGTGATGCCAGAGGTAGCATATAATATATTCTGATAATAAAATTATGTTATTTATACTAATTCATAATGAGCAAATCGTTGTTGTTAAATAGTATAATATAATTGTTTCCCAAAAATAAATGTGCTAAATTATTAAAATTATCTACATTAAACATTTTATTAATTTCACCATGATATTATATCTGAAAGTCAGATTTCAACTTTAAAAAGTATGTCATAATCTTTAATAAAACATACACATATACAAATAGACAACAGAATATATAGTTACAAACATGTATATACTGTTACATTATGTGTTTATATTTATTACTTATTCCAGGCAAAATATGAATACAAGTATGAGGTGTCAGACCATCAGACTGGTGATAGAAAAAGTCACTGGGAGACCAGGGATGGTGATAGAGTGCGTGGAGTGTACACATTGTATGAACCTGATGGTGCTTTGAGAACTGTTGAATATTCAGCTGATGCTATTCATGGGTATGTATTGCTATACGACTTTCTATAAATTAAATATGTTTAGTATTTAGTGTGACGTGGTCTTTTGATAATTACGATCTATTATTAAGAGCCTCTGGAATGGACGTGTCTTCATGATGTTATAAAGATGGATGACGTAAGAGTTGGGTGTAAATTTAGGGAAGCTGGAATTTCAACGTTATTTGTGAACGTATGATTTGCCAGTTAGTTTTAAGCAATATTTATTAATGTTTTGAATTATTTGCTTATTATAATAAAGTACTTCAATACATTACAGATTTAACACAGTAGTAAAAAGGAATGAACCCACACAACATCAGCATCCACGTCATGATTTTCCGCCTGCAACATCCTCTAATAATAATATACATAACAGTTACAACGCATCTCCAAGTCTTGCTGCTCATACAGAAGAAAGAAATGGATATTCGAGTTCCAACAATGACTATAAACGTACTGGGTATCCTGCGTCTAACGCTCCATATGATTCAGCGATTGGATTCAGCGTAAACCATTTGGAGAAAAATAGTGGAAATTCTTTTAAACTGTTTTAAAATAAAGTATTTTGTAATCGAAATCTGTAATAGAAATAATGCTAGCTCTACATAAGCACAGCAATAGTGTACAATTAATTTTATTTATAGATAAAATAATTTTCTAATGTTTTAAATAAAAATAGGATGCACTTTAGTTAAGGATCAGAATATAACGGTAATTCCGTTATATTTTAGTTATATCAGGAAGACTAAATATTTACAATTTATTTTACCGTTATAAAGTCTATTTATATTTCTATACTTTACAATCAATTTATTGTTCCTAGGTTTATATCGATTGTAGTCAGAAACTATCTCGAAACGTCTTGTCTGGTTTTTGTCATTCTTTACATACGAATTACTAGAGAACTAGTAGTTTAAAGATTACGTTAGTGTTTTGTACTCGACTAGTTACATTACATACAAAGTTAAGGTTTTGTAAATAGATTATCATTTCATCATGAATTAAAAGTAGTATAGAATAATTAAATACTTTGGTTTTTCTTATATGTTTTATTTGTTAGCGCTAACAATTCTTGCAATGATAATATACATTCATCTTCATTAGATGTCGAAGTAGTAGAAATCGGAATATTGTCAAGCTTAATGGTGATGACCACGATGATGATGAACAGAATGATGTGGATGATGATGATGCGTCGTGTGATGAACATCAGCATTGAAACTGTAAATACAATTGCAGTAATTTTAGTGGGCTGTTTAAAAAATTCTTCATTCATGCCCTTCAAATCAGAGCGTAGCGTGAGACAAGGATGTAAACTCTCACCACAACTTTTCAACCTGGTGGGAGAACATATTATGCGCCAAGTCTTGAGGTCTGGCAAGGCGGTATCCATGTGGGTGGGCATTTGATTAACAACTTGCGTTTTGCCGACGACACTACTCTAATAGGACTAAACGAGAGGGAGGTCGCCGATCTGCTTCGTAAAGTCGAACATGTAAGTGTGCAATACGGACTTCGTATGAATCTAAGTAAGACCAAGCTGATGTTTGTGGATCGAGGCGGACAAATGCAGAGATCCCTAGAGCCACGTGATCTAGATACAGTACAGGAGTTTGTATGCTTGGGGTCATTGATAACAAATGGCGGAGACTGCATGAAGGAAATAATACGAAGATCGCAGATGGCTAAAGCAGCGGTAAAACAACTAGAGGAGGTATGGAAAAACAGAAACATACTTCGAAACACCAAGATTAGGCTAATGCGGACTCTAATCTTCTCCATATTTTTGTATGCTTCTGAGACATGGACCTAGAAATCACACGTAAAATCCAAAATAGATGCTTTCGAGATGTGGTGTTGGCGCAAAATGTTAGGAATATCATGGATAGAGCGCCGCACTAATGCATCTGTTTTGGAACAACTGGGTATCAGAACCCATCTCTCTACTGTGTGCTTCCAGCTTCTGCTAACTTTGTTCGGCCACGTGGCCCGCCGAAAACCAGGTAATTTGGAAAAAAATATAATGTTAGGCCACGTGGACGGTAGAAGGGGCAGAGGTAGGGCACCTGCACGTTGGACTGATCCTGTACGAGAAGCAGTCAAACAAAATATACAGTCGGCGGTCCATTTAGCACAAGATAGAAATGCCTGGAGAGTATTGGTTGGAAGGAGCATTCCTGGTGGTCACGACCCTCAGTCTTGATGAACCGACAAAGAAAAAGATAAAAATTTCAAAGCAAGAGAAATGTCGAGAGGAAACGTCACAGCAAATAAAAGTGAAGAAGCAAAATCATATTCAACGCAAAGTAAAGTACATTTGCACAACATGTAAAAATCTATTCAGTACTGCGACGTTAAAAAATGATACAAATAAATATTCAGTAATGCGCTATCTTTACGCATCGTGTCTTGTCGTTACAGTTATTCAGGATACTTACCCACGGTGATCATCAGCTGTGTAATGAACAGTCCGCACGTTGCCGTCAGGCTCCACGAGGGAGTAAGTGCCCTTCACTACGTCGCCATGTCGCCACTCTGTCTGCGACTTGTGGTCTCCAGTGTGCGGATCAGACACTTGGTACGAGAACTTGTAAGAAGGGTGTGACGATACCTATGTAGAAATTTATCTGTATTACTACACTTGTCGGTTTAATAGATTCTTAAAATTAAAATATAATTAATCTATTTTATATATATAAATTACGACTAAATGACAATAATAATTTGTTGTTTTGTTTTTTTATATAAACACGTTACAAGTTATGAATTTTTCGCTAATTTAGTCAAATTTCCTGATTAATTAATAAACAAACAAAAATTTTGGGTCTAGAAATGACATGATATACAATCTACATTAAGAAAAATGTTTCTAAAAATTCACGTTGCACGGATAATAGCAGATATATACTGCGGCAACAAAAACATAGATTACAAAACTAGCCGTTCATCCTTAAACAAAAATAGCATTACATTTTTTATATGTGAACCAATAATGCGCCACCTACCTTTTTCTTATTTTTATTTCTCTATGCCTTAAAGGTAGTCTGGAAGATATTACTTAGCGAAAAGAGCGCCTTTTGTATCAGTTCATGTATATTTTGTATTATGTTTGTTCTGTAGTTTCAAGTATTAACAGGGAATATAACGCAACTTACATGATCCCAATGTCCGTGATCGCGGCCGTGATTGTTCAAGATGCCTATGTGTCCACTGTGCTGGATTACATGGTGGTTAATTGGATGCAGGCCGTGGTGTTCAATATGTTGTACTCCATGGTGGTGGTGACTGTGACCATCTGTACGAGACTGATATGATACTGCAGTTGGATGACCTTCAATACTGGCCACTATCAGGCAGAGTGCAGCTAACTGCCAATAAAAAAACATAAATAAACTAAGTAGAAAATATTTTTCCCTATGTGGTGAGGATTAAACTATTATTTTTATTTTCCCCAATAATGTAATGTCATTAAAATAATATTTGCAAGATTAAGTACACTTAATTCATTAATGTGTTTATTTCTACATATTCTCTTTATACAAATGTTCTTTTCTCTATAAACTAAACAAGTAGTAAGTATATTTACTTGGGACCACATTTTGGTATAGTTCTTCAGGTACGCTTGACTTCAAATCATAAGCTATACTGCAAAACATCTTCTTTTATGCATTGAACGGTCAATTAGATGCGTCGTAATTAGGATGACATTATAACATTAATTTAAGCATTAATTATAATCGAATAAGTCAAGAGTGAATCGAAACACAAGTAGTGTAGCATAAAATTAAATGTAAAAAATGGAAAATATTTTTCTTACACTTAATTTTAACTTAATTTAATAATCACAATATTTCTTTCCTGTACATTAAAAAAAAGGAATGAATAAATATAATATCTTCTTTTATATTGTATTACTAATATTAGTATTAGTACTATTGTACGTAACCGTAACCGACCCGATGTGCGATGTGTGTACAGGATGTCATATGATTATGTGCACGTATAATATATATAATAATATTGAAAGAAATTTTCGAAAATATAGTGCAATCTGTATAAAAATCAGTAACGCCGCGTACACCTTTTAGACCAAAAGGTGTACGCGGAGAAACAACCTCGCATGGTGTCAACTTTGATTGCAGATTATCCGAATATTTTCTATATAAATTATATATGTATTTACATAAACATAAACTTTTATTGGTTCTCTAGTACCCATAACACAAGCAGTAATTAGCTTAGGATTTTATGGTGCTGTGTTATTGTAATGTGCAGGCTTAGTATTATTTGAACATGAAAATTTGAGATTAAAGTAAATTTTATTGTGTGTAAATGATACAGGATTCAATTTGTATTAGTCTATCCTGTTATTTATAACAAATGTATATAAATAATTTCGTAAATATTTTACATATTTTTACGGAATACTAAAATCAGTGCAGTGCAGTGACTAGATAAATTATTTATCGATATTTAGTTAACTTTGAAATACATGGAATGAATTTAATAAAAAGGTACAGTGGTCCTAACTCTATTGAAACAGAAAGAAAATTTATTCAGATAGTGTGATTTTACAGCGTTCTTAGTATTGAGGCTTTAGTTAAAAATCAGTCTACTGTGAACCTATACAGGTACAATATAATAAAATATATCTAAGTTTTTTTATCCCAACTACGATAATAAGGTTGTGATATCTACAGCATTATGTACTAACAAGTTTTTATTTGTCGATATGACTACAACACCAACCGATTCGTATCTGTGAAAGCGTAGTTTCCCTGCATAGTGTCAAGGGTGAGCGTTTGCTGTACAAACCTCATTACTAACCGGAACTGATTAATCCATTTAATTGTTTGATATGAAGATGCTTTTTTACACGTAACTTATTATCCCCACTAATTAGAAACGTCAACACAGGCGTATAGGTTAAAGAATTAATACTAATTAGCGGAACTTTATTATAAAGTGTAGGGTTTAATTAGTGTAGTATAAATATATCTGTGGTATAGCAGAAATATACGTGTAATGCAGAATGAATAATATATAATTTTAAATTTATTTTTTAATAATAGGTAGGTATTTATTTTTAATTATAATTACTACTTGCTGTATTATATTTAGGAATTAAATATGACTATACCTAGACAAAATATCTAAAGGACATTGTAAATTATTCTAAAAGTACTAAAATACAAATAATGTATTTCAGTAAGTGTAATTTTTGTGCACATTGCAATATTTTAAACAATCCAGAACTTCATATTCATAATTCTTTTTTGTGTGTGAGTTGTCACGGGTGTTAGTATCTGACACGTGGTACGAGAATTAGTAGCTAAGATGCGATCCTGTTTTTGGTCTTTTTAAGTCTTACAATGCACTTATTAAAATATAAGACTATTTAGAATTTATGAGGCCGTAGAGGAAACCTATTAACGTAACTTTTAAATTTAAACTTAAAAAATAACAAAATTATTTTAGTTCCTAACCCGTAAACTTTATTTTATACTAGTAGTTAAGTAATTAAATAGATATATATTTTAATTTGCATACTTACTTGGAGCCCCATCCTCAGGTTTTGGTTATCAGTTCGTTTAATTTTAAACGGAATAATGTGTTTTTATCTTAAGTCTTCCTTTTACCTAATAAACCCTGGATTAAAATATTTTATTAAGTACATACATCAACAGAAAACATTTAGATATTGACTAACTATTAAAAATATGTCAGGTAAGTAGAAATAAAGACAATTACTACAGATTGTAAAGTATTGAAATGCAAGGTTAGCCGAAAGTGAAAAGAAAAATGTCTTTTTATTAGATAATGGGAAGATTCTGATAAGTGCTCTGTTCGAACCTAATTATATCACTACTTAAGGCATTGTGATAAGTTCCATAATACATGGTAATCTTAAAAACATTCAGAGTATACATAAATAAGTAGGTATATAGCTAGTTATCTAATTATGTACGTATGTAAAAGTAATTTTATAATACACATATGTAATGCTTGTCTTTATATTCATATCATGTTACTGTAATCTGTACCTTAGTTTATTTGTTAATAATTTTAAATTAGCGCAAGTAAAACACTTCAATAAAATTAGGAAAAATGAGAACTAAACTAATCGATAAAGACGCGTGCTCGTGAGAGCCTTAGAACAAAAACTAAAGACAGTGAAAGTCTGCTTTTCCTACATGGCATAAACGTAATGAGTAATTATGAATGTACTCAAATCTTGGTATTACCAAAATCACGTTACGTGTATAGTAGCAAAAAAATTTAAATACCATAAAATTATATGACTTATTTGTACTGTTTGTTTGCCAAGTCACAATATCATTACGCAATATTAAACCTATTATTCTTATTAGCCTTGTAATAATGATTGAAATTTTATATCAATATATTTATAATAAGCTGCCATATAAATTACTATAGCTATTAAAGTATAGGTTAGGTGTCTATGGTGGAAGAGTGGAAATTTCAGTGTGTATGTGTATTTATAAGTATTCAGTGATCCCTTTTTATTTAGGGGTACAAAAAATCGATAACAATATATTCTCAGTCCTATTGTGTATACAGATTCACTTTTATGAAAATCGGTTAAGTCGTTTCGGATAAGTATGTATTCTCATTAATTTTTAAAATTATTTGTATAGTTATTAAAATAATAATTGTAAAACTAAACTTCTATATTAATAATATATAATATATCATGTACCCATATTAGCTAAAGTATGAGGTTATAGGTAGGTTTTGTGTTTGAAGTATTTTTAATTGATATAATATTATCAGTTATGCGATAAATAGAATATCTATTAAATAATATTTCACTACATAGAGTAAGGGCTTACAGCATACAAACGTGGTCATACATCACACTGACAGCATATAGATCTCTATAAGGTTGGTTTAGAAATATTTAGTTTTCTATAATGAAAACAATGAAAAACTTCTTATAGTTTATTTGCAAATTAGTAGACAGGAAGCATAAAAACCACATACATCAAATGAAAAAGTATAACTTAAGAGAAGGTGATATATAATTTTACATACAAGTTTACGTGTTTATACTTTTCTATGAAGAATTTCTACAGTTTTTATAAGTTACAGACTTTATATCTCTACTCTAATAGTAAGTAAAGAAGGAGAAAAAATTGTTTAGTATATTCTTTATTAATCTTGGTTATATCCACGTGAGGAAGGATTACCCCAGTTTTCCTGATTGTCACGGAAATACTGGCGCTGAAGTTCGTGTCTTGCTCTATTCCTACGGGAGAGGGCCTCCAGAAATTCATCATAATTTCTGAATTCTTTATGCTCATCCGTACGTACATTCCGTGGGAGGATGAGGTACTGGCCGCCCGGGCCCCTGGTGTAATCTCTTCCTCCTGTCTTCAAGTATCTATAGTCGAGGAGAACCGTGGGCTCGCGGTAGTCAGGAAGGTTGACGCTCTCAATGATCCTGGTGACATTAATATCGTAATTATCGTTAAGTGAGTGATAGAGTAGAGTACCCACAATTGTGATATGCCGTACTGCAGTATAAAAAAATCTTGATTGAAAATCAAATTCATAAAGTATCGAGTTGAAAAAAATATTATTGTTCTTTGAGTTTATCTCAAATTGATGTCAGACGAAGATAAAATATGCCTGACTGTACGTATTTTACATCTCAGACTTAAAAGCCTTTTTGAAATGATATATGCTGTGGTATGCAGCCACGACAAAGTATTATTAGTACTATGACTGTTAACATTACACTACCCTACTTTGTACAATATTATTTTTTAATTCCAATAAAGATCTTTATTATTATTCTTATTACTATGTACATATAAGTCCGTTACGTTGGTTTCGGCGGTGTAATGGTCTAGCACATTGGCAGACTGGCGATGGTTCGATTTCTCATCCGAGGCAAACATTTGTATTCATGAGTATGCTTATTTGTATCGGTCTGGGTCTTTTTTTATATTTAGAAAAAAAGATATTTAAGTATTTCTTTCAGTTGTCTAGTACCCATAACTCTACCAAGTACTGCTGAGATCATCGGAAGCTGTGTAAATTATCCAGGGTTATTATAAATTTTTATTATGAAGAAGTTAAAAAAATACGAACTACATTTTCCTAATACTTATTGTATTTGTAAAAATACTTGTTATTGAAAAAATAATTTTTTTCCTATTATATAAGTTGTTATCTATCAAATTATCTCAGTGTTTAGTAAAAAGAATGTAATAGTTGAATTTAAATATTTATACGTAATTGTTTATTTTTAACCCATATACTAACCGATTTCCACGAGACCAATATGGGATATCCTGTAAGAAAAAAATATTAGTGTCAAATAATTAATTCATAAAATTCCTACCTCATACGGAGAAATCTTTACATTATGATCGAGGAAAGTAACAAGAGCTCCACCAACAAGAGCAAGTAGCACTTAAATTATGAATGATTATTTATTATTTATGATAAGAGCGAACCGATAGCATAATAATATACATATAGGTTAGGTTTTAAACATAATTAGCGATTATTTTTGATGTATCAAAATTCCGTTGTTTAGAATTAATTAGGAATTAATAATGAAGTACATCGTCTGGTCCCCGGCGGCGATCGTTATCACGTATTCCATATACGCGGCTGGAGTCAGCCACTTGGTCCACGTCGGCCTCTCCGACGCTTAGCGCCACTGATGCAGCTAATACTACAAGCTGAAATGACAAGTTTATTTTGTAGTGTCTGGTTGTTAGTTGGATTTGTCTACCTACAGTATCTATATGAGATATAATCACAGATTAAAGTTATCCTATTCGATATGTAATACGATACGCAAAAGTAAATACCTACTATATCACTGTTTGTAACATTTTTACAACTAACGGCTGAAAGAAGGTTTTTTTTAACTTCATTATACTACCGTTATTATAATTGGAAAAATGGAATGTAATATGAAAATAGATTGTATTATTCGGACATAAGCTATCTTTTATCTATAAAAAGCAGACGAAGTTGCCCGTAATTTCCAGTTAATACTATACAAGTGAAAGTTAGGATAAAGTACTATAAATGGAAAGTTATATGTATTATGATATAGAATTTTAGTACTTTTATAGCATAAGTTCATAAAAAAACTTACCCAAAACATGTTGTCAGTAGAAATACGCGAATCACTATTGCCTTTTGTAGTACCCGTGCGTATAAAGTAGGAATATAAATAGACCATTTAGGAATACCATTAAGTAATCAAACAAACGGATGTTCGTGTGCTAGATACAATTTACATAATTTAAAAGATTAATTGATTGTGTATATTGTTGTTTGATTGTTGCCAGTTAAGTATGACTAAATTGACTATATCCTAATGATTTCAATTTAAGATTAATAACGAGGGTAACCTCGTTATGTTAGGGAAGTAAAAAATCATTTACCAGGTAGTTTTTGTGAAGAATAGCAACATTTGAGTCTATTGTAATGATTTATTTATTATAATTTACATGCTATATCTTCTTGCGAATCAGTGTTGCGAATGTTTCAATTTTCGAAACATTCGCATTCAACAAACGAAATCATGAAATTTTTATATATTCGATCCGAACTCCTCCCAAAAAATAATACAAAATATTTGGACGGTCTGAGAATATGTTATAGGTTATTGTTTATACCCCTATTGGATAAGGGTAGCCCGGCCCTATCTAGAAGTAAATTATATGGCAAAGCTATGTTTATTGGATCAGCTAGTATAGGTACATACACATGTAAGTAAAACTTTGAGAATATATATATAGCTATGTAAAAAAAATATTATGATTAACGGTTTTTTTTTACTTTGGATTTAATAGATATATAAAGTCAATTTTATAGATTGGCTCATTGCTGTATTGATAAAGAATACCATAACTAACTTTAAGTTTCAATTCTAATTAATAGAGACACGGATTTTCAGCGGACATGGAAATGACTTTCTTTACAATGATCCCAAGAGATTCCTTGGGATCATTGTAAAGAAAGTCATTTCCATGTCCACGGCCATATTGAAATATTTATATTATGGCTATGTATTGTATATTGTCTGCGGTCAGTCAGTCAGTCTAATACAAAATAACAATACGTAAATGAAACACTTTTCTAATAGCTATTTAGAATTGTACCCATTAATTATAATGAGGTATTTATTATATTATTACACCTCAACTTTTTGGTAAAATAAAAATGTGAGGATACAGAAAGATTTCAATTAAAGTAAATAGTTCCGTGAATCCCATGTTCCATGGTTTCACGGACTATACTAATCTTTGATTTTCATAGGAAACCGCGTGGATGTCGACCTGATCTATATTTTTCTACTATATAATTCTTAAACAAACAAATAACTTAAATCATTTATGATATTGATCGATATAACATTAAATTATATAAAAACAATAGATGTCAGTTTTTTTAATGTATACTCACACATACACAGTTTTTGCCGAGGCAGACTGACAAAAGCGTTTGCGTGGGTAATGCAGTCTTAACTATTACATTTCAGCCTCTAAGTAGTTTATGCCATGTTATTATTATAAAATTACTTATTCATTAAAATGGGAAACATCTACGATCGATTTTAAAAATGAAATACACTGTGGGCATCACGTTAGATAGTTAGTGACACCTGTGATACAACTTGTACATAGAATACCATACCTCTGTTACCATACGTCCGTCCTTATCAGACGTTCGAACTGGAACTCATGTCAAAACACTAACAAAGTAATTAATAGTTCTAGATTTTTTTTCTAATTAGACTCATGAAGATTTTTAATAATGAAGATATATACAGAAATTAAGGCGTCGTGCATGATATGTGGATAGTTAGTCAGACAGGCAGATGGTGAAGACGAAGTTTAGACATGTGAACGTGTAACTGACGGTGACATTTTTATAGCCTTCGTTAGTTGCTACGCTATCCAATGTATTCGTTTCATTTTAATAATTCAGAAGGACAATAATTTAGATCTTTTATGTTTAGTAATCCAAATTTTTTTATATATAGGTATATATACACTGTTTTATACATTTTTCCCCTAAGAATTAAATAAAAAAGATAGTTAAACGTGAATACCATTTGAATTTAAATTTACTGTATCGGTAGTACCTAATAGAAACAAGAATAATATTTTTAATTAGCCTTTTATATGTTTAGGGTAACATTTCAGCCAGAATCCTTTTAACCATTGTAGTCTTTTCGTTTTAAGCAATTTGCTTATTAGTTATACACTATAGATTATGGACTGTTCTCATAGCTTGCTTATTTGATCTATGTAAACATAGATCTTTGATCTATGTTAGATATTTGATCTATGTAAACATAGATCTTTATTATTCTGCTTTATTATTGTGCTTAACATTTAAGCTTATTTCTTTTTGACAATATATAAATGATAACAAATAAAATCAGCAAAGTTAGCACTCATATTATTATAATTGCAAATTGAGATATAACATAAGCATTCTTGTTCACAAAAAAAAAATAACAAATACAATTAGCAAATCGTTCACGTATTCATAGTTTAGCTTTAGTAGATTTTCAGTCTTGACGACTTCAGAAGTTCTGTAGAAATCTGACATTATTCCTCAATTTTCTCTTCAGTGTTGTCTTCATTTCGACTTCTTATTGATATTTCAGGAATGTCATCTTGGTCTCGGTCTTGTTTTCTGTCTAGTTCATTATGATAGACATGTATGTGAGGTGCTGAATATTCTACGTCAGCTTTGAAACTGTAAACAAAATATTTAATATGTATTCTTCTCTAAAATATTAGTCGTATAAATGTATAATATAATTATAAAAAATGCATAAAATATAGAACGCCGCTATCATATAAGCGCTATAGGACGAGTTGTTAAATCAAATCAGAACAAAATATCTAGATCTATTTCAAACTCTTATGATAAATCAATTCTATATATTATTTTTATATGGTGATTGTAATAAAGGCTGAAGCGAGACTTTGTGCAAGTTTAAATATTATATTAGTTATAATATCTCAGTGCATGTTTGCATGTTTAGTTTCAGATACAGATATTGAAATATGCAGCGGGTCCAATTATAGTTAAATTTTATAAAAACTTACCCGTTTTTGTCTGCGCGATATTTGACCGTGCGCTTTCTGCCCTTGGGTTCTCTTAACCAGTATTCGCCCTTTACTTCGTCACCATTCCTGACCTCACGTTGACCTTTGTAGTCCTTGGTATGCGGGTCCGCTACTTTGTACGAGAACTCGTATGAAGGATATGCATGCGCCTGTCATAGAGTTATAACGTTATTAATGCTTTCACTTATTGAGTTAATATATCTACTCATACTTCAGTTTAATAAGATCACATAAGTAACAGTCAGTATTTTTTTATGATTTCTGAATATTTGAATATAGTTGAAAATGTGGATCTAGAGAATTCTTTACTTTTATTTGTATGAAACATTACGTAATATCTTATCTAATTCTGAAATTATTTAGGAGATTCTACTGTACTAATTTTATTGATAGCGAAGATAATAAGTACAGTTTTCTTATAAATGATATTTATACAAAAACAATATTAGAATGCTGAAGATTAATGATTCATTAATAACTAAATATTTAAAAAGTTATTACTTTAATTAATTTACTATGAATATATTTCTAATAAAGTTAACAATATTAAATATAAAAATAGATTATATCTATTCAGAAATATATTTTTAATTTTACAATTTATTAATACCGAAGTTTTTAAGTGTCTAATGGCAGTAGAATTAAATTACTTACATATTCTTCATGATGTTCGGGTGTATCGCGTCCGATATGAGACAGTTCTCCTCCACGCTTTTCTGTTGGTCTATTATTCAATCTGATTTTCTGCTCGGAAATTGCATGGCTGTTTGCGCCTAAGATGCAAAACACCACACAGAGCCCGATGCTTAACTATTATAGTAAAGATAAAGATAAAAAAATTAATATATAATTCATTTAGCAATTGTGTTTCTAATTAGTTTTATCTCGCAGCACTATCTGAGCTTCTTATACTCATATACGTATTTATGTTTTTTTATGGAACTATACTATTAAAGTTTACTATAGCTGATTGAATGTTTTAAATACGTCACTTTATGAGTTTATGCATCAAACATAGAATAATTTCCCCTTTATAAGGTTAGTATAAGATTTGGGTGCTGATGTTAATATTTTTTATAGATAAGCATTTATTGTCTATAACTGTGTTACATCATATAATGGAAACTACTATGGAAAATTATAATGTAATATTTTTTTATAATTATTTAAGTGATACTATAGCCATATAACTCTATTTTTTTTAGCGATACCTATACTCGTAGATTACGTAACAGAAATAAAATAACAAAAATTACTTCACCTGATGGAACATTGTGTAAGATCTAATATTACGTTACCAAGTGATATAAAGATAATCGCATCTTCAATATATAGACGACATGATTATCCTAAATCATGAAATTCAAGTGTTCAGGATATCCTGTAATCTATACAATGCCAATTATCTTGTATATAGTTTCTCGTTCAATTTTATGGGCGTGTATCTGTTCACACGGAAGGCGAAACTCAAGTTTGAGGGCCAAATTGACTTATTGGATTACTCATTATTTACTAAATTCATATGACCTACCTTATTATAAATTAAATCAGATTCATTTTAGTTCAGTTTCTGTTTACCAATGTAAGGTGAGATATTTATGTGGTTTAATTAAATTTATGCACTTTAGATAGGTAGGCATTTTATTGAAATGCTAAGCTAATATGTAACTATAGTAAATATTCTATTTAAGTATAAGGAAAATATATATAACTATATGTGCAAGAAGATTCATGTTAAAAATGGTATTATAGATATGGGGATTGGATAATATACCAATCTATGTATCTTCGTATTCTGTATTGTGTGTGTATTAGTCTTATTTTGCTTTGGATTTTTTATGTACTTTCATTTGTACAATTTACATTTATTATAGAATATATTAAAAATGGTTAATTTACTTTTTATGAAATCTATAATAGAACTAAATAATATAGATAACGCCTGTCAAGAATAGATAGGCAATGTCGTGAATCAGAGAATTATATATTTACATATATTTAGGAAAAACAATTTAAATATTGCATTAGTCAAATAAACGGCGACAAGATATAATTAAGAAGAAATTTCTTAGATTGATATTTTTTTTATAACACAGGGGACAAACGAGCATACGGCTCACCTGATGGTAAGTGATTACGGCCGCCAATGAGCACCCGCAACACCAGGGGAATTGCAAGTACGTTATCGGACTTTTAAAAAGGAATAAGCTTTTTTCTTGAAGGTTTCAGTATCGTATCGGTTCGGAAATACCATTGCAGGAAGATGATTCCACAATGTGGTTGTGCGTGGCAAAAAGTTTCTAGAAACCCGCACTGTGGAGGTTCGCCATTCATCCAGATGATCAGGATGGTATTTTAGTTGGCAGGTGGTATGGTGGTGAAACTCAGCAGCTGGTATTAATCCGAACAATTCCTCATATGCATATTATTTTTGGGATGATATAAATAAAAGCAATATTATTAGCGCTAATTTATTATGAATGTATTTTACAAAAAGGGATAGGTATAGAAGTTAGTCAGTCTTTCCCGAGTATCAGGTTGAAGCATCACATCTTCATGATATCGGTTGATGATACGAAAAATAATTAAATGTGGTGATGGGCGAGATGAACATGATGATGCGGCGAGGAATGATGTACGATGGCGTTAAAACTGAAACAAAATATAAGTAATTAATATAAAATAAACGTACACTTCTGGTATATATTTTCAGTCATTCTACTTCTGGTATACATTCGTATGTAGAAAATATATGGATAAAAAGAATAATTGGTTCAATTTTTTAAGCAATAAGTAAGTTGTGTTACAATCTGGAGTTATATTTACCCGGTGTGATCATCAGCCTTATATTCAACCTTTCGGTGTCTACCGTCAGGCTCTATCAGCTCATAGCCGCCTTTCACGAGATCACCATGTCTTACTTCATGTTGGGACTTCACGTCGCCGGTGTGGTGATCGTGTACTGAGTATTCAAATTTATACTCAGGGAAAGTCTGTTAAAAATAATAAAAATTTAATACACGTATATATAACGATGTACTTCAAGCATTTTATTACATATAGTAACCAAAGATACCAAAATACATTATTTTGCATACATTTATTTGAAGGTTTCTGTCCTTGTTGACACATCCGTCTCAATTAATTATTAACGAAATAAACAAACTTTTATTTTAGAATAATTTCAGATTGTTGCATAATTAAAATTTTGGTTCAATTCTCAAAAGAATTGTGTAAGCACAACACTTTAATAAAGTGTTAAATGCTCTGTACTATCTATTTCTTACGTAGACTGAGTGTTTCCTTGTTTTGCTTTAATTCTATTAAAGTTATATTCGTTGTAATCTATAATCAAGTTCTTACATCTAATATACTACTTAAGATACAACAAGCTGAGTTATTAGTATTAACTCTATAAAATAGTAAGAAGACTTACATAATGGTCATAATGTGGAATATGATGAATCGGAGCGTGGTGAATAAACGGGGCGTGGTGATGAATTGGAGGTACGTGGATTGGTACATGATGTATTGGTATTGGGTGGTGGTGACCGTCGTGCTTTTGGTACTCCTGGTGTGAAATAGCTGGATGGTGAATATGATGGTGGATCGGGAATATCGCCTGGCAGGCCACGGCCAGAAGGCAAATGCCCAGTATCTGAAAATAAGAAAACACAAAGAAAATTAAGATATTCTTACAACATACACAGAATAATTAATATAGAATCCTCTTGTAAAGTAAATAGGAACATATTTTCGTTCCATATAAACATATGGAACAAAAATGTGTTCCTATTTACATTTTTTATCTAAAACTACAATTATAATTAAATAACACTTTGTTTTTTATATTGGGTGATGATTCTTTTACACTCATAACAAGATATTATCAATTTATAATGCAATTTATTTCAAATTATAAAACACTTCAATGATATACCGTTATATAAATCGTCACTATTTAGTTCAAGCAGATTTAATAAGAAGAACACTGATATAAACTAAAGTAACATCCACTGTTAAAGAGAAAAACTTACGTTTACTAGCATCTCGTAGTATAATTATCACTTATTCCTGCGTGACCTCAAACGACAATGTTTAGTTTAGCTCTGGTTCATTAGTTTATATAGAGTTTATAATTGTGGGAATTATTGGAGCAAAAATTCATTGATCAATTCTCAGGGCATGTGTTTGTTAACATTGGTACTATATATCGTAATATTCCGTAAAGCATATGTTGCGTACGTTAGGGAGCTAGTTAAGTTTATTATAGCTGTATGTATCGCTTGGGACATAATTGTCAGCAATTTCGATTGGAATAACAATAATATGAACACTGAAGCCCGAAGGAAATTTACCCAACTTCTTTATATTAATTATACATTTGCAATTATAAACATTCAATTATTGAAAATATTTTATTGTTGCAATTAATATAATGTAATTATATTGCCTAATACATACATATAGTGTAATCCGCATTAATAAATAAATATATTATATGAATTATTTAGGACGAGGATAATTGAAAGAATTAGGAAAGTCTGAGGTTAGAGATATTTTTAATTAGAGATTGTTTCTTTAGATTTCTTTAAGCATTAAATTTTTCATTATATGCTCAAAGAAATCTAACGAAATAATTTTTGAAATGGCAATTGTGCTTGATAATGTTTAAAAATATGTATAAAACGTCTTATAAGCATACTATACGAGTAGCATGCTTAAAGACGTTCGTAATCAATATTTTTTTGTTTTTTAATATAAATTCAACTACATTGTATAAATTGAAATTTTTTCACAGACTTTTGAGACACATTTATATGTGTGATTATGCGTATAGAGTCCTAAATAGTTAATAAACAGTAGCAAATCATATTTAGTGCAATCCAGTGTCAAATATGTCAGGTATTATTGCTGTTTCTACACGTCATAAAAAACTTGTTTTTGAATAATGTTTATGTAGTTTATTACGATATAGTCAACGGTATTACAAAATTAATGCGTATGTCCAATTTTACTTTATATTTATGTTAAAACATATGAAATATAAACGGTGTTGATTTTAGAACACTATTACTCAAGCGTAAATTGTACTGTGTGAGAATATATGTAGGTATAATTATAATTTCATTGTTTGGTACGTGAAAAAGCTTGACAATACACACATGATATGAAATAGTTAGTAACATAAATAGGTACACCCTTCAACTCTATTGTGTTATGATAAGGCATAATTATGACTATGTGTGTTAGAGTATTTTTCTTGTTTATTGTTATTATAGCGTTCGTATATATAATCATGGATTAACAAATAGTGATACGGAAACTTTCATGTGATTTGTTGTATTTACATGTAGTTGTAACATATATTAAATTACAAATTGACTTAAAAATGAACCAGAATTTGGGGAAGATTGCCTTCCCCAAATTCAATTGATTTCAGTTTCTACTCGCAATTGTTTAGGTTTACTGCTATGTAACTATATATTTTTTGTGCGTGACAAGTGACTGGTAAAAATAAGTAGACTGTTTTCAACTTAACTTTATTTTATTTATTAAGTAACAATATGACAAAGTATGCTAAGAATAACTGCACAGAATAGTGCATGTAACAACAGGATCTCTTGTTGCATGTTATTAGAATATAAATATATTGTTCCAGTACAGATTTGGATAGTTTCTTCAATCGAATATGAATAAAATTTTATCAATTATTTGTACATTAAATATATAAGTTATAGTTTTTGTATAATTCCTTTTCCTATAAAACTTTCAGGATTAGGATTCAATGATAAATAAATTGTTAATGCAATATTATGCAGTTTAAGACAGAGATTACATAATAGGTAACTTCGAGACAAATTCCATCTGGGAAGAATATAAACCTGCAGAAAAATAATAAAATATTAATATTTTATTTATTAATTAACACACCAAACACAGTCTTATAGTCAGTTATATCTGTTTATACCTACTCTTATTGCTATTGTATAATAGAAAAAAAAACTTTATAGTAGTATATATCAAATAAATATTAGATAATTAGGAAGACAATTAAATCCTAATTATATTTGCGTAAAAATACATATTTTTAAATATAAAATGGGTATTTTCATACATTATTAATTATGGATAATAATATTACATGGTCGTTACTCATGACTGAACATAAATATTTGTTAGTATTTGCATGATATACATTCGGGATTTTATTACCTCATCTTTGTAGTATTTATTAAATTTTGTGCACCTATTCACTACATTAGTCGATCATGCCTTCACTTTGACTTCTCACGGGGTCGCCGTTCTAGATACAGGGCATTGTTAATAATAAATGTCATAGTAGGTCACAATAGTCTTTGTAATAAGATCCTCAAGTATTTAAACTGAATTTGAATTACAAGAATTTGAACATTCAATAATCTGGTTAAAATTCTTTACGACTAATTATAAAATATTACTAAATACATAATATGAAAGAAAATACGATAACTATTTTATAATAAGATATAATGGTTATTAAGGGGGTCTTCCTATGTGACGGCCTGTTTTTTAGGGATATTTTAGGATTTTTTTTCTACGACCAGTAAATATTTAGAGCTTCAAGTTTTTTATCATTTATTAACACATATTTGGACAGTATAAATATAAAATTTCAGCTAAAAATATTCAGTCAAACTAGAGTTACAGCGCTCTGAACACCCCCGCCTCGAAAAAAAGAGCTCCCACTTCCTCCACGATTCCGGCTGATCGGCTTATCTGAAAAAAAAAAAAACGGCGTTTTAATTTGTAGGCTTAAAAGCACGGAATGACCTATAATCAAATTAATATAAAAAAAATTGGATTTTTGATAGACATTTGAAATAAAAGTTGCAAATTAGGCGTTTTTTTTTTTTGTTTTTTGCTATAAAAAAATCGAAGTTTTGAAAATTTTCGATTGATAATAGTTCATTCCATGCGTTTACATATATTGAGTGTGCCCTGTAAATTTCAAGTAATTCGGTCCAGCCGTTTCTGAGATACAATGGGGGAAAGTTTGAAAAACACAGTTTTGTGAAAAACGCGTTTAAAGTTTCAAGTCCGTTAAAAACTATTAAAATATCAACTTACTCTCAATCGGCGATGCCTGGTCCATAGAGTATTCCTTCCTCTTCCTCGTGAAACTCTTTTAAAGCAGATTGTTCAGCTCTTGAGTCAATCCTGGCTTGTTTAACGACATCACTTACGCGCCGCTCAGAGCGTAAGATTCGCTTTTCATCCCGTTTCTCAACATACGCTTGGGCTTCACGACCAACAGGGCATCCCATAATCGACATAACTTTTAAAATACCTTGAAAACCTTCATTAAAGATAATAACTGCTAAGTAGCTAGCAATTTCAACAACTTTGGGACCAGAATGAAGATGTTTAGGAGCGAAAGTCCAAATCACACTCACACGATAAAATAATTTTAAAGCCTAGGCCTCGGAAACTTGATCGCGAAATAGACACGTCACTTTTACAAGTTTTACATATAACTATTTCAGAGATTGCAGCAAATACAGAAACAAACTCCAAAATGCAATATGCGAAATTCGAAGCGATGGGAACATTCATGTTCATGTTATTTTTAAGTTTTTTGGCCGAAGCTGATGTAAATACCGTATCATTTTGGTGGGTAAAACGGTTTCCACTAAACTTTCTTTTTTTACTACGACCAGGATGAACATTTCCACTCGTACTTCCTTTCCGTCCACTCATTATGAAAAAAAATAATTTGTAGCTGTTGCTCTCTTCGAAGTTCAACCAAGACTAAAATAACTTCGGTAAAATATTATAACAATAGAAATTTCTGTTTAAGTCTGTAGAAACGTGTCTAAACTTGTATAAACAAATATATTAATAAAAGGGAGGCCAGGTATAAAGCCGACGGTACACAATAGGCCCGGTCTCTAACTGCCAACTCACCGCTCCGAACCGCTCTTTCTTTTACCTGCTGTATCTTTAAAACGACTTCGAATTTTCTAAAATCGCTTTACTACCGTATTCTAGACATGTTAAGGGAGCAATTTATGAAAAAAAAAAAAAATCGATTTTTTCAACCCATCACATAGGAAGACCCCCTTAAGGGTTAATGGTTATAAAATCAGTGTTGTTAACCTGCTTAGATATCCATTTTTATATGTAATTAGTTATTGGGTAATAAAGTACATAGTTATTAAATATAGTACATTTTATTTATTAGTTTTTTACTTTTCAATGTAACATACATTCATTTCATTCATCATTCTGATTCAGAAGACAATTTGTTTAAAGTCTGGTAGATGCCAAATTGAAACGTACTAGACTTCAAACTAATAATTAATTTACTTATTTCCGTTAAATCTAAATTTTTAATCTATGTAATTTCAATGACAATGAAATTCCTATGGGTAGGCATAGAAATAATCGAACTATTTTGACTACATATAGAAGCTGGCTCTATAAAATAATATGATAACGATGCTATGTATCTAGCTATATATACCTGTAGGTGTGTATGTAGCTACATATCAATTATAAAGGTGTTTATATTTACTGTTTTCGATCTGTCAAGTCCATTATTACTCAGTTACAAGGTGTTACACAACAGTAGGTTATAGTAATGACAGTTATACTTAACTGTTTTTAGGTCAATGTCTTAGAGGACAAAAAAATTATAATGGTAAATGGTACATGACAAATAATATAGTTTTTATTAGTAGGCAAATTCCAATTGTATTTGGATGGTACAGTAAAAATACAAAATGTCACTTCTTTTCGTCCCCATTATGCATAAGACGTTCAGAAGAATAAAGCACAATACACTAATTTAGTGCCTATAAGTAGCACTACTGAATTCCGAATGAGCCTAGAAAATATCCGACTGAGTACATATGCTACTCATTCAGATTTTAAACTAATTAAAAGCTACAGAAATATGCTTACATTTTTATTTTATACACTTATAGAATATATTCTTATTATTAATTTAAAATTTATATGCTCAGAGTCTACAAATTGTTTTATTCTACATTAATTATTATTTTAT